CCTCTTGCCCTCCGTGGGCCTGTTTCCCTAACTGAGCTGCTGCTCCACTCCGTGAGTTAGAGCGCCTCAGTTCCCTTCATTCCGCTGGCCCACACAGAAACAGCTGACTCTTTCTCTGCTGACAAATTTTAGGTAGAGTTTGAGAAAGAAGAAACTGAGGGCAGAGAGGGAAGTGAGGAGAATCAGATCCCAGATCTTTGGGGAGAAGGAGCTGTAAGGAGCAGCTGTCCCTCCACCATAGCCGGAGGGGTGGAAAGAGCAGGTAAGCTGGGGACCATGGAGCAGAGTAGTTTGAGGGGAGGGGGGCTGAGAGATTTCAGACCAGTGCAGAGACCTCTGTGTCTGGGATGTGAGCAGGGTGGAGGACAAGGTCTCACCGCTCAAGCAGCGCTAACTTTGCAGGGCTCTCTCTGGAGCTACGCTGGAAACTTGGGAGACCAAAACTGCCTCCACTGCTCACCGCTTTGATTTTTTGCTGAGTTGCCGGCTGGGTGGGTGACAGGTTGCACAAGAGGAAGCCCTGTGGCAGCTAACTGATCTTTCTGGACTTGGAGCCAGCAGGGAGACATTTCCCCTGGAGCTGTGTCCCTTGGTTGCAGGCTTGGTGACAGATGTCTGAGAGCACCCAAACTCCCCCTTTTCTCTCTAATGAGTTTAAGGCTCCCAACTTTGTTCAACCATCACAGGAGGAGCAATGGCAAGCATCTGACTACCCAAGAGGCCTTGCTAGCCATTCTAAACCCCCCAGTGTGCTGGGGGCATTGGAGGGGATGTCCCTGTGATGGGCAGTGGTTAGGTCAGGCATGTGGGGAGAAAAGTAAGGATTGGCCTAAATTTTGAAGGGCTTTGAAAGCTCCACAGAATTTAGACTCTGGAGGGAGGTATGCTGGGCTGTAAGAAATTGAAATACCCACAGTTCTGGGTGAGGATTGTTCTTGCAACCCTGTGGTATAGAAACAAACGAGGAAGCCAGACAGATCTGGATCTAAATCCTGCTTTCCAACTTGCTACTATGTGACCCTGGATGAGTGATTGGATCTCTCTGAACCTTATGACCAGGAATGAATGAGATAAGATATGTCCATGACACTCCTGCCCGATGCATGGCCTCTAGTGCTGACATATCAGTACCCCTCTCTTCTGTGTTTATGTCTTATTTACCTGATAGGTCTGGAGGCCGGAAGCAGGCAGGAATTACATCTGACACATTTCTGTCTCTGCCATCACACTGTGGCACCCAGTGCAGTGTTCTGCACAGCGGCATACCCGGGTTTGGATCTCAGCCATCTGATCTTGGGAAAGTTGTTTCACCTTTCTGTGTCTCTTGGGATAACAGTAGTACCTGCCTTTCACATCTAGGTTGAGGAGAGCCAGAGCCCACAGGCCTCCTAGGATAACAGCCCCAAACAGGCTGGTGGCACCCTCCAGCTGAAGGTGTTCCTCAGCTCCCCAGGGCATGTGGTCGTGAGACAGAACCCACAGACCCTGCAGGAACAGGACTCCCAGGGCCATGGCCCAGGTCAGCATCAACAGTGACCTTGGCGAGTGGGGCTTAAGCACAGACTCCGGGGAGCGTGCCCGTCTTCTGCAGAGTCCCTCTGTGGACACAGCCCCCAAGAGTGAGGGGGAGGCCCCTCCTGGGGGTCTGGGCAGAGGCACCACTTCCACACTTGGAGCCATCTTCATCGTTGTCAATGCCTGCCTGGGCGCAGGGCTGCTCAACTTCCCAGCAGCCTTCAGCACTGCCGGGGGAGTGGCAGCTGGCATCACGCTGCAGATGGTGAGTGAGCGGGCCTGGCGGGCAAAGGTGGGTCTGGGCTCTTCACCTCAAAAGGGAGGCTCTGGATCAGGAGTGGTCAATTGGAGACACATGCTACCACTCTCCCCTCTATCACACATGGCAGACATTACTAATCTATTCCAGCATTCTTTCCTTTGAGCCCAGATGAGGCTTCAAAAGCCTTCCCAGCTATCAGGGAAGTTTGGACATCAACTGCATATTTAATAATTTCATGGTTACGTTTAAAAAGCAGGCCCATACCTTAGAGCCGTGCTGAAATATTTACTGATGAAATGATATGATAGTTCGTATTTTCTTCAAAATAATCCAGAGTGGGAGAGGGAATAGATGAAACAAGATTGGCTGTAAATTGATGATTTTTGAATTTGAGTGATGGGTACGTAGGGGTCCATTATACCATTCTGTCTACCTTTGTGTATGTTTGAAATTTTCCTCAAAACTTCTTGTTTTTAAAGAAAATCTCAACTCCAGTAATCCATTAAAATTGCCCTGCAAGATAAGGCTACTTTGCCAGATGGGCATTGGGCACCAGGCCAGTAAATGCTGAGCAAGACCAGGCTGCTCTTTGCTGCCAGGCCTTTCCCACACCCTCTTGCTATGCCCCTACCCGCAGGCCATGCTGATTTTCATCATCAGTGGCCTCGTCATCCTGGCCTACTGCTCCCAGGCCAGCAATGAGAGGACCTACCAGGAGGTGGTGTGGGCTGTGTGTGGCAAGCTGACAGGCGTGCTGTGTGAGGTGGCCATTGCCACCTACACCTTCGGGACCTGCATCGCCTTCCTCATCATCATCGGGGACCAGCAGGACAAGAGTGAGGTCCCCCCTCAGTACCTACCTCATCCACCCCCGTCCCAGCCCTGGGTGTCATGCGGTGGGTGGGAGAGAGCATGGAACACCTGCCCAAGGCCTGGCCTGGGCCCGGCATTCATCTGGGAGTCCTCCCTCCTGGCTGCTGGGCCCATTAGACAGATGGAGGTCCCAGCAGAGGTGGAGGACCACACCCTGCAGTAGCCTGGCATCACGTTCCCTCCTTCCTCCCTGTGCAGTTATAGCTGTGATGGCAAAGGAGCCTGAGGGGGCCGGCGGCAGCCCCTGGTACACAGACCGCAAGTTCACCATCAGCCTCACTGCCTTCCTCTTCATCCTGCCCCTTTCCATCCCCAGGGAGATCGGCTTCCAGAAATATGCCAGGTTCGGAGGCCCCACCCCAGCCTGTGCTGGACAGCAGCTCTGATCACAGGCAGCTGGAGACCCAGGGGCTGCAGGGGAACCCCTCTGCTCCATGCCACCTCATCTCCTGGGGCAGCAAGAGTGGGCAAGGCAGGGTAGACCGGGGCTTGCACGGGTTCCGGCATAAGACCTTCCTTTTGTGTTAGCAGCAAGGGAGACAGTGGCTCTTTTTATCAGTGAGAGATTCAGTTCCAAATGTCCTCGTCAAAGAAGGGATGGGTGATAATCATGTGTGAAGGCCATCTCCTGGCCTGGGCCTTGTCTTTCCCACGGAGGATGGGATTCTTGATCATTTGGGATTGTCAGCCTGGCAGCATTTTCCATGCAGCTTGGTATGAAGGGAAGGGACTAGCTTCCTGGCTCAGAGTCTGAAAAGCTGTGGGATTCTAAGCTGTTTCTTGTGATCCTTTATCGAAGGGGTCACACTCAGTGTCTCCAAGGTTTCCTTTAATGTTGACTTCCCAGTATTTGTGGCTTCAACCCTCCAGCATCTCCTACTTCTCAAAGGCCCTGCTTGCACCTCTCGCCAAGTCTGGGCTGCTCTGATTGAAGTAGCAGATGTGCTTTGAAGCCCAGCCCCCTGCTGTGGTCTCTGAGCCATGGAGCTGAACCACCTCATTTCCCAGCGGCCACAGGTGTCAGTCTGGTCCCCTCCTGGCTTCCTCAATGTGGCTTGTTTCTCTGAAACTTATGTCTCATGCATTTCTTGAGTCTTTGTTTGGGATAGTCTCCCAGTTGGTTCATTAGACACTTGTGGTCACTAAAGTTAAGGGTGGATGTCCCCGGGGATGGAATGAGAGAAAAGGCAGCTGGGGCTACGGGGGAGGAAGCTTAATCTATCCTTCCTGGCAGCTTCCTGAGC